ACGAGAATACTTTATATATATAAATATAAATTATGTTATATAAATATAACAGTCTACACAATATAGTGTCTCCGAAAAAATTTGATTTAATTTTTTAGTAAAACTTAATTTTATTAACCCTTTGTCATACTTTTCTCTTACAAATTGAAAAAAAATTAAGCTTTATACGAATGATGTATCACCAGTGATACTTATGTTTGGCCCGATTTTTTTATCACGAGTCTTCCACAATATCGTAGAAAAGGATTAATTATATTTTATAGGAAAGAGATCTAGCTAACCTGCAATTTTAACTTACTGAAGGTAGCCACATCCTGGTTGGAAATCGCCGCATATGCACTAAAAATTGGGAACCATATAAAAAGTTCAATGTTCATATTGTATGTACACGGAGAAAATTGCGCAGCGATAATCGCTAAATCGCGCCGTGCCGATTATTTGTGTCGAGAAAAAATTTTCGCTGCACACCGATAGTTATGCGCGCGCTAGTCATCACTATTTGGACAGTAATCACAGCTGTGCTGGACAATAATTATTTTCACAGCATTCAGAGCTGCACGCGCAGCACTAGTAGCCGTTTGGAACGCTACTCATCGCTTGCACGCGCAATAGTCTCTGTCTTTTACACAACCGTTGAGTCTGCTGAATGCGTCCAATGTTGACAATATACGATTGTATGAACTTATGATCATTGAAAGTTTTTTTTTTGACGTTCTTTTTAAGTAACACTTTAGTTATTTCAATAATCTAAAAGCCAAAGAAGATTTGCATCGTCGACAATCTTCAATAGTTATAGGTAAGTGACATTACAGCTATAATCTACGTTTACAATCTATCATTCTTCATTATGAAATAACGCTACAAAAATTAGAATATTCGGCCGATATAGTCGATTCTTATATTGAAGATTGTCTTAAGTATAAATTTTTTTCGTTATGTCCATTTTTATAGCAACTATTTATTTCAATGGACGTGCAAGCGATCTTCTTCTTCTTTTGGTTAGTGACTCCTGTCTCCCATGTATATTGAACGGAGACAAAACGGCCAGATCACGATGTTGAATTGTACATAAGCGTTAATATTAGGTGTACAATTTTGCTTCCGCCGTTTTTTTTCCGAAATTCGAGGCTTTATTGTAAAAAACTGGTTATACATTTTTGATTCAAAGTATTGTCCATCGCTGGCCACTACTTTCTCCCATCTTTCAGGTAGCGTACGAATCCCGCTTCGAAAAAACTGGTCATCTTTTGAGGCTATCCACGAATCGATCCAATTTTTTACTTCTTCATAAGACCGGAAGGGTCAGCCTGCTGGTCAGCCAGGCCGTGTGCTATTGATCGAAACAAGTGATAGTCAGAGGGAGCAACGTCTGGAGAATACGGCGGGTGGGGAAGGACTTCCCATTTCGTTTCCAAATATGTCTTGACCACTTTCGCAACATGGGGTCGAGCATTGTCATGCTGCAAAATGCATTATTTTATCGTGTCTCTCGTTGTATTGCGGTCGTTTGTCTTTCAATGCTCGGCTCAAACGCATCAATTGCGTTCGATACCGATCGCCTGTGTGTTGTTTCAATCAATTTAACAGTTCATAATACACTACGCCGAGCTGGTCCCACCAAATACAGAGCATGACCTTGGAGCTGTGAATATTCGGTTTGGCCGTCGACGTGGAAGCATGGCCGGAACTCCCCATGATTTTCTGCGCTTGGGATTATCGTAATGAACCCATTTTTCGTCCCCAGTCACAATGCGATGCAGAAATCCCTTCCGTCTTTGCCTTTCAAGCAGCTGTTCACAAGCAAACAAACGCCGTTCAACATCTCTCGGCTTCAATTCGTACGGCACCCAATTTCCTTGCTTCTGAATCATTCCCATGGCTTTGAGGCGTTTTGAAATGGCTTGTTGAGTCACTCCTAAGAATCGTGCCAATTCTTCTTGATTTTGACACGAGTCTTGCTCAAGTAATGCCTCCAATTCTGCATCTTCGAAAACCTTCTCTCTTCCACCGCTATGCCGGTCTTCGACGTCAAAATCACCGTTCTTGAAGCGTTGAAACCACTCACGACACGTTCTTTCACTAATAGCGGCCTCACCATAAGTATTTGAGAGCATTCGATGAGCCTCAGCCGCAGATTTCTTCATATTGAAGCAAAAAATTAAAACCTCCCGCAAATGACGAGAATTTGGCTCGTAAATTGACATTTTCAATCGAGAATAACTTTATGATGCAGACACAAATCGACTAATGTTTATATGGGATTATGTTGACAGATACCCAAGTTTATTGTATGACGTCTATGATCTATTTATTTCGACCATCACTTACCGCTAAAGCCATCTATAGGAAAACGGCGGAAGCAAAGTTGTACACCTAATAGATGGATAATGTTTTTCTGCAGGTTTCGGTGTTGCGAGGCGAAATAATTCGCCATTGAAGCCTAAAGGGATTTCGTTTGTCACGGCGAGGGGCAAGCGACAGAGTTTGTTCACATCGCATGCTCCAAATTAACCCAGAGAGCACTTGAATCATCGACAAGATTTGGAGCAGTTGCGTTCATGTGCTCCAATATTCAGTGACAGGAATGGATTTAGGACAAATGAGCATGTCATCTAATTTAATCGGTGAGACCACAATGGGTCGAACATGTGTCTCGTTTCAAGTATTTTGTGTTATTTCAATTATTTGAACAGCGTTTTTATACAAAATACATGCGCTTTTAATAAATGTAAAAATTATATTATTATATTTTTATATTTTTGTATTATATTATATTTTTATATTATATTATATTTTATTGTATTAATATTATTTTATTTTCTTTT